TCTCTCTCCGAGAATCCATGTATCATAAGAATCGAGTCGATTCACCTAACGAACAAGAAAACACTGAATCTCTCTATTATTGGTCAACACAATCTGTTCATCTAAAATAACATCAATTTTTTCTGTGCGATGTGATATGTGGTATTCGAATATACATAGCAAAAGATTCATTGTAGAAGTTTCTAGGTGGAGATGGAAAATGATCATCAAAAGTGTTAAAATAGCCTTCGCAAGCATCGAAGTCCTTAACAATTAAAATAGGAGGGATGAAAGATTATTGACATGTGCATTTGGACCACTATGCTTTGAAATTTTAAAAGGACTAGCATTATGGGCTGGCAATATAACATAATCCCCAATATTAAATTCAAAATGTTGTTTATACAAATTAACTAGAAGTTTATATATTACAATACTTGCTTCAAGTTTATTGATCTAATATGAAAGCCGTGCAAATGTGGTACAACTTCCTCATTTGACGTCGACGCACTAGCATTTGGGGACATGGGAATAATTTCTAAAGGTCTCGTAGGCTTATAATCATGACTAACTTCAAAGGGATTCAAACCTAGAGATCGATTTACAGGATTGAGATATGCAATTTCAACAGGTGGGAGGATCAAATCCCAATTCCCAAGATTTTCCTTAAATATGACATGATTATACAACTCATCAGCACCTTTGGGTTGATTAAGGATACTATATACAACACTTGACCGAGAGCTATAAAGAAAAGGGGTATAATATCTAGATTCTTCGGAAGAGCCCGGATACCACCTAAGGATGTGTCCTCACTATCGTCCAAGTTGTCAGAATCTTCACGTTCAGGTTCATAAACTAGATTTGCTAATGTCTCATTTATTACATTCTTCTGTGCTTCAATGGCTCAGTTAGAACATTTGGAAGGAATGTGGTTAAAGTCCTTACAATTGAAGTACTACAAGTGAGAAGACGTCATTGGAATTTCAAAACCTTCATCCTTATTTTTCTCAACAGGAAGAACATCAAACGAGGAAGTTTCTACAAGGGCCTTAACGGGAAGAAGTGGCGCCGATGAAACAAAAGGATGATTATCAATACAACTTCTATATGAAAAAGAATGCCTAGGAATATCACGACCTTTACACTTATTTTCTCAAATGGGAGGAACATTAGACGGGGAAGGCTGTATGATAGACTTATGATGAGGTGGCGCTAATGAGATGGGTAAATGATGGTGATCACACTTTTCATATGGAATACTAATAAATAGCTCATAATCTCGAGTAAAAGAGTAAGCGTAATCAAGAGTAGTAACGGCTAGATGGAAAAGCTCATGCCTAAGTTCATCTTTTAGATCTTGTATAAACCTACTCAAAGTCATGGCCTCATCTTCAATGACATGACATTTCATTCGAAATTCCTCAAATTGAACAATATACTCAGTCACTAACTGATTTCCTTGTTTAAGGGCAGTCCATTAAGTAAAAACTTTAAAATCTAAGCAACCATCAAAAGTCGAAGTGTCTAATTCAATGTTTATAAAGAAACTCTCCTTATGATGAGGAAGCGAATGAGTACTGTGACAGCTATAGGCTCATTCTCGTTGACGAACTTGATCCCTATCACAACGATCATATTGAAAATATTTTCGATCTCGTCGACAACAATAATGCCTATTTTGGGATACTTCAGAATTATCAACGTCAATCGAATGAGGAATTTGCTTAAAATTGTTCAAATTAGTAAAGAGGGCCTTATTGTCTTCAAGAGTAGCAGTCATCTAGGATTAGATAACCACTATTTGTCGGGTGAGTTCATCAAATTGTGAAGGGTCCATGTTTAGGTACTGAACTAGAAGTGACAAGACGACCTATCGACTACTATACATACACTGTATTAGTAGCTAAATGATGTGCCATAGAGAGATCAATGAACAATAAGTATAGGCAATGGAAAATAACAACTTGAGCTCCCTTTTTTAATTTTAAATTTTGGGATTAAATAAATCCAAATACGGCAAACTAATATTACTGGTATATGTAAAATAGAAAAGCAAGGGTCAAATACTAGTCAAAACCTAATCACGTAAAATAAGTAAGTTAAAAGAGGAATTTAACGAAGTTAATGGGTCAAATTACGTGAGTTTAGATAAAACTAGAGTAACGGCAACACATAAAAAAATTGATACAATTTTAAAATGAAACAATAATATAAACCAAAGATAAATAAAAACAGTAACCTCCCCTTCGTTATTTGATGTAGTCATATCAAATCAACAGGAATAAAAAGAGATAACTGCAAATAGAAAATATATTTTCTTTTCACCTTTTTTTTCACTTTTTTTTTGGTTCCTTTTTTTATCTTCCTTTTTATTCCTCTTCATTTTTTCTCTTTTTTTTCACTCATTTTTTTTATCTCTTTGTTTTTCTCTCTCTTTTTTAAACACTCAAATTACACTTTATTAAGAAAAGTAGGGGCACCAAATTGAGGCCCAAAACAAAACTAGAGGCTGAGCCCAATTGTAAAGAATTATCACTTGGTCTTACGCAAAATCAATCCAAATATTGGTGTGTGAAAAGCTGTCGACGGGTACTGTTTGGGGTTTGAGATTTTTTGGTTAATAGAAGTCATGGTCTGGTTCGCCTGTTAGTGTAAAAGCGATTTTGGTGGTACTAAGTTTTGGAGAATAAACATGTCGGTTATTTGGTGGCTGGGATTGATAATGACTGTGGAGATTGTTGTGTAATTGGGGAGATAGACTATGGACTGAGTGTTGTTGATGTAGTATTTTCCAAGTTTAGCTTTGATACCATTTTGATGTAGCATAGATAGAAGTTCTGTCGGAAAAGTAGAATAGATGCAGAAGAAGAAAATGAGGACAGAGAAGATAGTAGAATTGCAGCAGAAGACAAGGAGAGGAAGAGGAAGAAGCAGGAACAAGAAAGTACCAGAGAGAAGAACACGTGAGAGGACAATTGTTAATTTCCCATCTTGTCTGCCTTTCTTTTACCTCCAATACAACACTTATAGATAAAAGTTATGGACTTAGGTAAGGTCCAAATAAAAACCCAATTTAAAAGTCCAAAATAATAAAACCCAAAAAAGTAATCAAATGGATGTCCTCATCACATAGACCATGGGAGTAGTAAGAACATGGTATCCAAAGCATTTGTAAAAGATTTAAATTTAAATATGGAAAAATGCTCATCTTGCTATCAAGGTCCACTAGTTAAAGGAGAGCAAAAATTTCAAGATATGGTGGTATGTAAAACTTCACTTTCTATTCAAAAGTACTACAAAGACGAGATCATGTAGAATGTGGTAGAAATGGACGATTGCCATATACTTTGCGGACAACCATGGTACCATGATGAAGATTCAACGGTAACAAATTTATGTTTTTGTGGTACGCTAAGAAGATTGTTTTGTTTCTACTTATGAAGTAATTTGTGAATACTAGTGTAGATAAAAAGCAAAATATTTAAAAGGAGGTTGGAAAGTATATCGTTCAAGATGATATGATGTTATCGACCGTCATACTGCAATAGAGGTAGAAACTCATTTACAAGTTGAAATCCTGAGACCTGCTGATCCTTGGTACGTGGAGGTTGACAATGAATACAAGCATGAGGATGAAAAGCATTATGGTGAAATAGCAATTGAAGATCCGAAGTTCAAGTTGTACTCTTATAATGAACAAGTTGAAGTTAAAAAATGTTAGCAAAGAAAAGGGAACTCAACTTCCTAATCATGAAGGAGTCAAAAGTTAGGCTTGTCAAATTGACAATAATAGTTTTGTTAACCTTTTCTGCGATCCCTATTTGCCAATAAATTACATAAGTACGAGCGAGTGTATGGATTTGAATCCTCGTGCCAGTTTCTCTGTATAAGAAGCATTAAGAATTGAAAATAACACTAGTTGCCTCTACCGAGAGTGGACTCAAGGATGAGATATTGAACCATGCATTATTTATGAAGGAATATCACGTAGGAAGTGTCCGTGATGTAAAAAAAATAGGATAGGAGTAAAGTTGACTTCAAACAATGCAAATGAGGAATATAACGATGTTTATAGAACACATTAAGAGATGGACATGTCTTCGATATTAGTTACTGTAAGAATTTTTAAGTATTTTCCCCATAATACATTAGTTTTTTTCTTCAACCAAACTCAAGGATGAGTTTTTTTCACGTGGGGAACTGATGTAGGACAATTCTATTAAAAATCAATTATTACTAGTTTTAGGATTTGAATATTATTGGTAATTAGGATTCCCATTACTTAAAGGATTCAATTAGTTTATTATTTAGGTGATAAGATTTCTACTTCTATAAGTAATAGGTAATTTCTTTTCTTTTCTTTTCTTTTTGGAGATTAATATCGTTTACTTAGTCTACTGGAATTAGGATATTACCTCTTCTTCCAATGCCTGTATAAGAAGAGGGCAAGACTTGTTGTAATCACAACTCATATTGATTATTATTCAAGTTATTCTATATAATATTTCTTCTTGAACTTATTCATTTTTTCCTTCCTCATTTTTTTTTATTTTTTTATTTTTTATTTTTACAAGACTGGACTTCTGTTGCAGTGCTTCAACCACTCGTGATTAACTTTGCAAAAGATTTTTTCTTAAAAATGGGAGACACAAAGGAAAAAGAGATGTTTGAAACCATTTTTAGAACAACGTAAGGGGAGGTGTTATTTAGGTTAAGTGACTTCAATTTATCCCATATGCTTTCTGGGGATTGAACTTGAATCTAGTACTCTGTTGATGAGTTGATGTTCAAGCAACCATTTTCTTATACTTTCAGTTCTGGAGTTGGGAAGAAATGTTTCTCGTTTTGAAGACCTTGAATTAGAAGTAATCTATTCAAGACAATGATGCTATCATGCATGAGTTTTATGTTTTTATGTGGCACACAGTTATTTATGTAATGCCCATGTTTATGCCTTTGCTCTTGCAGTAAAATTACCTTTCCAATTATTTCTTTATTTATTTCTTATATCCTCTCAGAATAGATTCTGAAGTCTCAAACATACATCAAAAACTAGATGAAATGAAAAACCAGCTGCCTCTAAGTGACGGCGGATCTGAAGAATCTGTGATGTCAGCAGAGGTTAGGTGTTCTTCATCCATTGTTTTTGAATTTTCTGTGCTAACTCTGATAAGAGTTTATAGATGCATCGGTTACAAGCTTGATGAATCCATATTTTTTATTTTTTATTTTGAAGTAGTACTTTAGAAGGAAATATCTTCCAGCATAGGTTATATGTCTCATATATTTCAGTGCTCACTCAAATTTCCAAAACTTGCTTTTCATGTGGAATCCTTATCTTTCAGGGTTTTCGAAGATCTATGCAAACTAAATGTTTCCTTGAGACTGCGAAAGGGCAAAAAAAATAAAAAATAAAAATAAAAATATGTTGTCTCCTTCAAAATGGCCCATCTAGTTATCAGCCACTCTGCTTGAAACAAAATAAGATGATTTTAATGGTTATTCAACTTCTAATCCTGTGATGATCAAAGACCATGACCTTATGCTTAGTGCTGTGAAGCTTTAACTACCACATAGAACACAAGTGTTCATCTGGAGGCATTAACGTTATACTGACCAATCATTTGCTACTCTCCTTAGGTCCATAGAAATGGAAAATGAAAAAATAGAGCTGTAAATGAGTGAAATTAAACTCACTTCAGGAATAATTTTGAATTCTCTAATCTTAGATCTCAATTGTCTTGTTTTCTCGACCAGCAGCTGGTAACTTGAAGAAGATAATGAGTGAAATTTATTACATCAATGAAGTCAATTTTTATTTCCCTCTCTCACAGACTTTGAAAGAAGCACTTGCACACATCGGATTTTGCTCCAGATTGGAGGAGATCCTATTGCAGAAGAAATTCTTGAAGACTGGAGATTCTCCAAAAGTTCATTCGCAAAAGGTATATCACCTAATGAACGCTATTCCTTTTGTCTGGAAATAATGTTTTTGAAAATATAAGTTTAGTATCAAGATGTAGAATCTCCATGCAATTGGAACATTGGAATATTCACCATTGTACTGAAGTTTGGTTGGTGGCCCATATCTGAAAACCGGATATTAAATAGTATTTAATAGTAAAGAGAAAAAAAGGTAGAAATCATTATCATAATATATAGATATTTCTATCTTTGATCCCAAAATGGGGGTAAATATGCATACTACACATAGCTTGGTCGGGTAATGTTCTCTGCTTTCTTCATGCTTGTTATTGTTTATTAATCTTCTTTAGTCACTGTGCAGGTTGATAAGCTAAAGGTACTATCAGAATCTCTTGCAAGCTCTGTCTCAAAAGCTGAAAAGCGCATTTCAGATCACAGGTGTGTAGTTGTTCTCATCTTCCCTATATGCACGGTCTCTTCCTTTTAATCACTCCAGGATACACTAAATAACAATCTGGGTGATATTACTGGCAAGATCACTAGCATGTGAAGTTGTTACCAGCTAACAGAATTACTAAAGAAAGGCCCCATGGATTATAGTTAATCGTCATAAGTTATATATCTTGGCTTACAATTCCTTCGGTACCTATAAAGTAATGATTCTTCTTGATTTTGTAGTCTTCCTAGAAATTTTAACCTTTTGGTTCAAATTCAAATATTGCTATTTCTGCATGCATGTATTTTCATCAGACAGGTTTTAATGTTTCTCTTAAAGATTTTATTCATTATGCAAGCAGATTACAGAAAGAAGAGGCTCTTAGTTTTCGTATAGCCAAAGCTAGTGAAGTCAGCCAGCTTGAAAAGGTAAAAATGTTACTCAGCAAATTTTTATGCTCACTGGAAATCTAAATATTTTAACTCCAAAATGGTCAGAAGGAAGAGGTACATCTGAGTCCAATTATTAATTGATTTTGAGCTCTGATTTTTAATTATTTGATGTCTTCTGTTAAGCTGACCTCTGATAAGAGTAATATGCTGCGATAGTAACAAAAAGATTAACAGCAGTGTGTTTTTTTTTTTTTCGGGATTTTCTGTGTAATATTTCACTAACTTGCAAACTGAAAATGATAAGAATTGAAAGATAATTCCAGCACTTCGAGAAGCTGGCCGTCTCCACAATGACTTGGTATATTTTTTCTCCCCCCCTCCTGCCTTCCTTTGTCTAAAAAATTGAATAACAACCTCTAACAGACTGAGTGCCCCTAATTTAAATCTAGAAGTTTGTGTGCCCTGTTTGTCAATTGGATGGTTCCCTTGCTTGACTGTTTCGCCCTTTGTGGCTGGAGTGAGTCAGTCTAATTGAAGGCCTATCAACCTCCTAATATAACTGTTATGGCAAACTTATTTCCTAACTTCTATTTCAATACACCAAGTTGTACGTGTACTTGTAATTAGAACCTTTATTTTTTCAAACTTGATGCTTTAGTACTTGATGTTTTAACTGATACTTACAGGCCACACTATTCAATAAGTGAAAGAGTTGAACGTGATATAGAAATTTCTCTGAAATGGTCTTCTAAACGAACTAATGGTACATTCCCCATTAAATTGAAAATGATGAAAAAGAGAAATGCCTAAACTCTGGACAAATGTATTTTAAAGAGTGTTGCTAGCTGTTTGGTCTTTATTCGTCACGAATGCATACATGCTGCTGATGTTCTAGTCTCTGATGGTTAAGTATATATTCCTTTACCAGGACCTTGTTGCTGAAATTGAATCACTTCAGAAACGAAAAGATGAAATTGAAGCAGAGATGAAAAAGGTATTCATATTCGCTCTCCCCCCTAATTCTGTTTGTTTGAGAAATGATGTTAAAGTGAACTTATCTTCAGATTGTTGCATCATCTACATCTAGTTGTGATATTCCGTGCTATATGATAGGTTGCATTTAGATATAATGTGATATAGGTAAGGACAAGGATATAATATCTATATATCTACCAATATCATGGCCTTGTTAATAGTTGCAGACAATAAGAACAAAACACCCAGAATGATTGATCATCTCTGGTTCTAAAGGATTTCATGCTTTATTCAGTGCATTATCTGGAATTAGCACTGTTGTGTTGTTTGCTTGAAATTTCATGACGTGTTAAGATTAAAAAATGCTTTCTAAATGTGAATATTGCGGGTGAAGTGTTTGTGGCATCTCTAAGTTTAGGTTAAAAAAATCAAATTCAGAAACGACATATCATTTAGAGGTTCAAGATTTCTGTAATTTTATAAATTTATATCTAGCCATTCAAATTATAATTGTATATAATTCCGTCTTGACTGAACTGTGTCATGTTTAATGAGTCTATTTTTAGGTTAATGCTACCTTGACTTCTGCACATGCTCGCCTTCACAATGCCAGGGAAGAAAGAGACAAATTTGATGAAGCTAGCGATCAAATTCTTCAGCATTTCAAGTTAAAGGTAAAATAGTGTTTGCAAGCTTTAATTAGCCCAATTTAAATGCATTTACAAATATTTTGGAATTTATTTACTCAAGTCTCCCATATTATAAAATTAGCTTTTGTACTCTTAATTATTTCCAGCAATAATTCTAAATTCAGGAGGATGAGCTGTCAAGGTCTATTAATTCATATAGCGCAGAAGCAGATGTTTGCAACAGCTTTGTTAATTTTCTTGAACATACTTGGGGTTTCCTGTCCTCACACACTGAACAAAAGGAGAAGCTGGTCAAGTAGGTTCTCTCCTTTCTCTAATCATGAGGTCATCTCTGAACCATAATTCTCATCTGAATGCCTAAGTTCATTGGATAATCATCTGGGATTCTTGGACACTCTTGAGAAAGCTACAGCTTCAAGTTGTACACGTCATATCCATGTCACACATACACTCTTTTAAGCAAATATCTGGCACTCCTTTTGACTGTCAAAAATAGAAAAATAAAAGCAACCTTTTAGTACACACACATGGAACACTTCTATAAATATTGAACAATTCTGTGACACTCAACTATATGATATAAAATGAACTATATGGTATAAAATGAGAGTTAACTGTAATTTTCTTTGAAGATGGTAAATATATTTGGTATATGTGAATACATAAGGCGTACGAATGAGTGGATGTACATGATATACTAGAAATATACGTAATATAGTATTTCAAAATTCTTTAGTGCATCCTCGTCCCTCATCGTGACATAACAATGTCACCTTTTTTATCCATACTTCCCAGGTTATAAACATTATTTTCACCCTGATCTTCTAATATTCCTTGTTTTACTTATTATCAAGTTTTTCAATGGTTTAGTGAGGAATTGGAGAAACATGAAGAGTACTTCATTAACTTCGCTATAAGCCTTTTATCTTCCTACAAGGTACATGTGTAATTGTCACAGTAATTACATTTGACCGATAAATGATACAAATATTTTAGTTTTTCTACTTCTGATTATGTCATGGGCTCACCAGGAAGAGTTGAGGCCTTCTATTTCTGCTACTAGGGAGCTCGTCGAGAATTTGAAAAGGTATCACTTGATTACGGAATATTGACGTCAACTTGAAGCACGCTTCTAATATAAGATTCTGCCAGGTTAGGAACAACAGCTTTTATGAATGAGGAAAAGCTAGAACTTAATTCAAGGAGAGGTCTTGAAGAACAGTACCAGGCAATGGAGGCTAAGGTATAAATTATGTCAGAAGTGTCTCATTTTCTTTTGAATGGGTACATCTAAAAGGCCATTCGTTTCGTTTATTTTCTTTGCTGGGTGGTTGGTGTTGCAAATTTGCAGATTCTAACCACATTCAGCGTAGTAGAAAGCATAAAGAAACAGTTCCGTGCGCAAGATGACAAGTTTTCAAGGTGAGTTGTGTTATTTTTCATTTGAATTTTATTATGCATATGAGTATCCTTGTGGAGTACAATATAAATCGGAATGGGAAAACATGTCTCGTTCTTGTACAGGAGAAGTGACACGAGAGTGAATGAATTACTAGAGGCACTTAAAGGTATCAAAGAGGAATTTGAATCCATTGAGAGACCTATTTTGGAAATCGAGACCCCAACTTCAAGAGAAGAGACGCCACCAAAGGCTAAGACCCCAAGAATTCCTTTTCTTTCTCCAAAACAGCCTCCAAATGACAAACTAGATTTCAATCAGGATTTTACTTGGGAAAATGAGGCACATAGTGGACGGACATTAATGGGGCTTAGTCCCATAAGTCGACTATCATTAACTCACAATCAGACCTCTGAAATACCAGAGCTCACACAGGTCGAGAATCTGGACTCTTTCACAATAAAACGAAAGAAGTCTGCTGCAGATATGGAGGCAGAACTGTCAAGGTTAAAATTGCTGCTGGAACTTGAGGACCATAGCAGAGGCAATTCTATGGATGAAATTGGTGATTGGGAATATGATGTGACTGAGAAGGAATCGAAAAATCTTAAATAAATATGAAACGGACTACCCACTGGGAAAATGATTTTAAGCAACCAGAGGGTAATCAGCAATCACTTCTGCTGTTTATAATTTATTGGCAGCATCCAATTTTCTTCATGCATTGATGAATCAAGAGAGTAAGTCAGCAATCCAGGACGAGACATCAAGTCTGGATAACATTTTTTGGACGATGAAACTTTGTAAAACTTAAAAGTTTCTCGAATTCTTGTATATTCTTTTACCATACAAAAACTATATTGTATTTTTTCAAATTATTGTCTCAAAGGGTTAGTCTTTACCAAATACATTCTAATCTCGACTGATAATTGAGGAACAGGGGAAGAATGTAAGTATTGTTGATGTCTTTATCTTTTACATCCTTCTATTTTTCATTTTACATTCGGTCATTGATTTGAATTGTTGTTTTGAATGCCTCAATCAATAGTATAAATGCTCGCTCTGTTACTTTTGGAAGCTTTTTCCATAAGATTATTATTATTTTCAATTTCTCTTTTGGACAGGCTATTGAAAAGCAATAATTCTACTTGTACAAAGTTCCCTTACAAAGTTGGTTGACAAAATATGTGTTGGCAAAATCCAGGTCATTGATTTCAAATGATTTAAAAACCTGTTTTTGAAATGATTGGTGTGGATGTTATTTTGTCAACCTACTTTGTAAACCATATTTAAAGTGTAGCACAACTCGTTGAAAAGGCACCTCCACTTTCATTTGTGAAGCAGAATTACACATCAGTTTCACTATACAGCAGCAAGAAGACAAAGTGGCCAAGTGCAGAAAAGAGGTCAGACTGCACCCTTTAATAAAAATGTCATCATTTTTTTTCTGGTTTTCTGGCAATTTAAAATGCATTTTGGGCAACTCCCAGTGATTGTTTTTATCTTTTTTGGTCTTTACCCAAAGCAGCAACTTGTGTAACCCAATTTTAGTGTTTGGAGTTTGGACAATAACCAGACAGGGTATTTATGAGATTTAAGAAAACCACAGAGGCTGATTTAAATTTTTAAGGGAATGTTTGGTATGGTATCTATGAAAATTGGGGTCTCAAAAACTGTAAGGGTAATGAAAATGGCTGTGTCAATAAGGAGAATCATCATGGTTAATTTGTTGCCATTGATCATAAGATGGATTCAAAAACCAGGTTTCGAGGAATGGGTTGATTTCCAATTTAAGTTTTGTTGTAGAGTGGTGGATTTGTGCAGTATGCCACCATTATCCAATTCTCACTGTCTGAATCAAAAAGTGATGTTTTTGGACTCAACTGGAAACTTAATCCTATAAAAATCCCAAGTACACTTTTAAACTTTTAATTTGTATTCCCTGGTTAAGTAATTTGTGCTGTGTTTTGTTCTTTTCTTTCCAAAAAGTAAACTAAATAATCTAATAGACGATATTTTACTTGCACTTTATCTTATTGAGTCATATATGTGTATATATACATCTATATTCCCAGCACTTAAGGTACCCCCAAACCTTCACAGAGCTCACATCTCCATAAGCATCTTCAGTCACTCAGAAACTACTTTGATGAAATGGCCACAAATTCTTCACTATGCTTTTCTGCAGATGATGAAGAAGAAGAATACATAGACATGGATTTGAGCTTTACATACTGCTCTTCATATTCTTCCCCACAAAGCAAAGATTTTGAGTTCCAAATGTCCTCCATTTGCAATGACAATGGTACCACCACTTCCTCAGCTGACGACCTCTTCTACAAAGGCCAACTCCTCCCTCTCCACCGCCCCCCACGGCTGCAAATGGTTCAAAACCTCCTCCAAACCTCCACAGCCACCGCTGCCTTCGAGACCTCCAAACAGGACTTTAAAGAAGAGAATCATCACAATACACTATTCATCACTTGCTCCACCAACACTAGCTCCTCAGCAATGGAGTCCTGTAGACTGAGTTGTGAATTGAACCCAGACGAGAATTTCTTCGAATGGTCTGCTGAATTAAGCAGTTTCATCAATAAGCAGCATCCAAAAAATTCTTGGTCCAAAAAGATGAAACTCATTAAGCAATCCATACTTGTTCAGAAGCTTAAGTCTTCAAGGGCTTATCTGAAATCTCTATTCAGCAAGTCTACATGCAATTTAGAAGCCGAAAACTTGCCAAAAGTTCAGGAATCTTCAAATAATGAGTACATTAAGTTCACCAGCCAAAAATCATTTGTGAATATTGGGAATAATAATATCCGCAGGAGGTCATTCTCCGGGGCAATCAATCGACACTCTGCAACTAAGTATTCGTCTTTTTCATCTATTACTTCGTCTGGTGCTTCCTCTTCGTCTTCTTCTTCTTCCTCGTTTAATTCCAGCGGTTTTCAAGAATTACATTTTCTCAAGAGGAGTAGCAGTGCCACTGAGATTGAACATTCAATAGAGGCAGCCATTGCTCACTGCAAGAAATCTCAACAGATTTCTGAGTCAAGAAATAATACATCAAGGGATGCTGCATTTTGTTCAATCTAATCAAGATATGAATAAAAGAAATGGGTAATCGATATTATTAATGTATAGACATGTACAACTTAGTTTGAGGCAGTTTCTTTTTTTCATCAATTAATTACTACAACGAATTAAATTCAGACCTGTCTCTTGTATTATTCACATTCTCATTCTCATTCTCATTCTCACGATGTTATTTGAATTCCAGTGAAGCAATTCGAGGAAAAAATAGAGCTGTTACCCAGGGATAACATTTACTTGTAATGGACCTTTTACTTCACCATAATTATTTTTTTAATCAAATTAAGTCCTTCATACAGTTCGGATTTAGAAAATTCCAAAATCCTTGCTTTAGGACCAACAAAGGTAATAAAGGGGAAGGACAGGAAATTTAAAAAAAGGGACATTTTTGTAGGATCAGAAGATATTTAGAAAATGAGACTCTAATAGGGAACTTTTTCACAAAAGTTGTCTTAACTTTTGTGCACTGAAATAATTGAAATTTCACCTCTGCACTTGGCTTCTGCTTTTATCAGAATTGATCTGTTTTCCACGTGAATGAAGCTTGTTGCTTACAATTGTTAACAAAGGTAAAAGTGCGTAGATTCGACTAAAAATTAAAAGTATTTAGGAAAAAGTTTGCTACTTTTATGTTTTTCTCATACGGAAAAAATCAATATTCATTCATTTTTTCTACAACTCTTTCCATATGGGCCTGTTCAAGTCGAACATTTACTGATTCCCAAAAAAAAATAAAAAAAATAAGTCGAGCTTTTACCAAAAAATAAATAAAGGAAGTGTGATATAATTTTAAAATAGATGATTAACAAGTCAATATATCAACAATCAAATGATTTCTTTCAAACAAAACAAAACATAGTAAACCAACACAAACACTATAAATTTTTGGCAATAAAAAGTGTTGACCTCCAAAAATGGCTCCAACAGGTTCCCTAGCCTCGTCCCCTCGAAACCTGCGCAAGTAGCATCCCATCAAGAGGCAAAGGTCGCCGGACGAGAAAAAAGGTCCGGCGATCGTTTGCACTCCGACGGTCAAGTCAACGGCCGGACGGAGATAGATATATAGAGTGCAATAGTAGAGAGATAGGGGATTTGGCTAAAGAGTGTAGAACATACCTTAACTTGTGAATTGAATCCATATATATAGAGAAATGATGTGAAATGGGCTAAGGCGGGTTAATGGGCCTAAGTTCGAGCCCAGTATGAGGTGAGCAAAGTGATAGGCACTTCGGCTGGGCTTTTTATGGCCTCGGTGGCGCCTCGACTAGGCTTCTTAGAGCCTCGGCTTTGAGGCCCAACACTAATGGACCTAGCTCGGGTCCAATAAAGTGGCCCAATATGGAGTGATAATTTATAGGCGTAACAGTAGTCCCCCAAGTCCGAGTCGTGTTATTTATATGCGGGTCGGACTTGAAATCTAAACTCTCAAGTAGGCGAGGTCTTACAGATTGCCTCAGAAAGATGGGTAGCTCCAATAAGCGAGGGCTTACGAATTGCCTCGAAAATATGCATCGATCTCGAATAGGCGAGGACTTACGAATTGCCTCGAGAAATATGAGTCGCTCCAATAAATGAGGACTTACGAACTGCCTCGAAAGATATACTGCGTATACTTTTTCAAAATTTCAACAGCATCTCCTCTGTAATATGGACTAAACCAATCCTGCGAGGCTTGTGAATGCTGAATTGTGATGAAGCTGAGGTGGTTGGAAAACCGAACCTGCGAGGCTTGTGAATGCTGAATTATGATGAAGCCGAGGTGGTTGGGAAATCGAACCTGCGAGGCTTGTGAAGGCTGAAATGTGATGAAGCCGAGGTGGCTGAGAAACCGAACCTGCGAGGCTTGTGAAGGCTGAATTGTAAGGCTCAAGCTGCTGAGGCACCTGCTGTCGAGGCACTTCCACCATTGACTGGGCTTAGTGTAGTTCACTTTTCACTGTAATCTATCTTCATCACATGCTGTTTTTCTCTGAAGTGTATTGGCCTTGTTAAGCAATTGAACTTTACTTAAGCATAATAACTGTAACCTGAAGGGATCCAACGAATGCTGTTGCAGCCGAACTTAAGCATAATAATTATATGAGCCTCGGAATTCACGTGAAGTGGCTTCTCCCATTGGCATTCAGCCTCACCAAAAGGAGGCATGTGCTAGCACCTCGGAGTTCAAGCGAGGTGGCCCAGAGAGGGGACGCGAGCCTCTCCTCCGAGGTGACGACGCATCCCAGACATGGTGGATGGTGCAGCCATGTTGGGGCTTCTCCCTTTAGCGCTCAGCCTGGCTAAAGGAAGGCATGTGCTAGCGCCTCGAAGTTCAAGCGAGGTGGCCCAGAGATGGGACGCGAGCCTCTCCTCCGAGGTGACGACGCATCCCAGACATAGTGGATGGTGCAGCCATATTGGGGCTTCTCCCCTTGGCGCTCAGCCTGGCCAAAGGAAGGCATGTGCTAGCGCCTTGGAGTTCAAGCGAGGTGGCCCAGAGATGGGACGCGAGCCTCTCCTCCGAGGTGACGACGCATCCCAGACATGGTGGATGGTGCAGCCATGTTGAGGTAATATTAGCTCTCCGAAGATAAGTAGATGTAATATGGCTGAGGCAAAAGCAAAATTCTGAACTGAACAGCTGTACTAATACGAATGTTGAGGTCGACTCTGAACAGAATAAATGTACCGATGACGATGCTGCAGAGGCAGACTCTGAACTGAACGTAGATAGTTGTTATGTAGAGGCATGATGACCTTTCTGAACATAAGCGGGGCTATAATGCAGTAATTCGTACAACAAGGCTTCTCATGAAGTGGTGAACAAAGATCTAGCTGGTGACTTTTGATAGTGAAAGGTGAGGGATAATCATCTCACGAAGTTAGGAATAAGCATCTGGCGAAGCGGGAAATGGACATCCCGCGAATCACTCTCAAACTATCGGAGTTTTATAAGCAGCCTCGGACGAACGAGGTCTTATAGCTAAGCTCAACAATAGTGAGATGTGAGGAGTAAAGATCTTGCGAAGAAGGTCAGGAAAGACTCCTTTTTCAAGGGCTAACACGTCTGACCATTAGCCTCTTCCTTTTTTCAAGGAATAAGGATTCCAAAATATATGCTTCTTCCTTTATTCAAGGAACGAGGATTTCAAGGTACCACCTCTCCCTTTATTCAAGGAACGAGGACTTCGGATTGTTTGAATAATTCACGTGCCATAATGTGAGAATTAGTAAGTCTGCCTTCATGATCAAGAATTAGCCGAGTAGGACTCTCTAGTGGTTGCTTCTTGTGTGTCGCAGATTTTTCCCAACAAATATATTACCATGC